GAACACGGTTTTGTTAAACATTGGTTAAACTCCGTTTAAATAACTGGCCCTTCAAGTTTAGTATTTTCAAGAATGTCTTATTCTAGCATTGATGACGTCACTTGTTAGCACCACTGAATGCCAGCTAGTGGTTTTCTGGTGGTCCAAAAAGCTAATTACGGCTTTTCTTTTTAAAAGGAACCTTTCCACTTGCGATTACTTTCTGATTGATTTAAGTTTTTTAATTTAGAATATTTTTATTGGAGTAAATATTTTAAGGTGCCGAGAGCCCACCACGTCACCTGCAAATAACTGCCTACAAATAATGGTCTGCTCATGAGTAATGCCGTCCAATTGCAAATAATATTCTGCTCATGCGTAAATGAAACCACGCTTGTTTCCTTCTTGCGTGAAAATAGCACATCGCTTCGCTTCCCGAAGATATTCATTAAAAAACAAACTCGGCGATCGAATGATAAAACAACTATTGAACTCGGTTATCGGTTATCGTTTGTCTGTGTCTCGGCAAATAATTGATCTGCTCGCCACTGACAGTCACGATATTTTGTTCAAACTTGTCCAGTACCCCCCGCCCCCCACTGTCCAATAATCGTTTATTCATTCAAAATATTTCTCCTCTTCTGATTGGCTAAAATCCCCCAGCTAATTCTTCATAACCAGCTAGCGTTGACCAAATTTAGAAGACATCTGCGATATCCGGTAAAATGACGTCAAAAGTACAGGCTACCGCCAACAAAAGGGACGGCAACCGAGAAGCTTAGGGGACAAGATTGCGTTAAATCAGTTTGTTTGTTTTTTTTTGGTTTAAGAGTTTTAGAACATGACGGAAACACCTTTTTGCGAAGAAAAAAAAAACAAACTCTTCTGCCTAAAAACATGGCAAGAAAAGTAAAAATACAACTCAGTTGATGACAACTGCTATTTAGACTAAACATTCCTTCATATCGTGAATTCGTCGAGGAAGCTTGTTTTGCAGTAAGAATTATTTTGAAAGAATTGTTAAAACAATTTACCACTACAGAAAACACCATAACATACCATAATGCTCTTTGTTTGTCACCCTAAAATTTTGCATGAGCATGGTCCTCAGTTTCTCTTGGGAGTTAAAATGGCCCCAAGAGAAACTGAGAACAATGCTTATGCAAAATTTTGAGCTGATAAACAAAGAACATTTTGGTGTGTTAAGCTATTATCTGTAGTGGTCAATTATTGGACTCGACTTTCGTATGATCTGTCACTTATGAAAGTTAAACGGAAAAACCGTCAGGAATGCGTGACACATTTACTTCAACAGCTGACGAAGTGATATCTGGTAAAGGAATACCAAAAATATGTCAAACTTTTTTTTTGTTTGTTTTTTTAACAAACGTTTCGGGTTTATGACCCTTCTTCAGTTTGAGAAAAAACCGTTGTACATTACTAGCAATACCATAAACATCACTTCACTTGCTGCAAAAGACTGAAACAGCCTTGGACCGGTAAAACAGGCAACATGCACATATTTTGTTGAAACAAGTACAACTACTCTCCACATTCTACAAACTTTTTTCGCAACCTGCAAGACAGATTGTACACTACAAACCCGATTTGAACTTTCCTAGACATCAAAATTTATTACATGTGCGAAAGATTCTAATACATCCTGCACACCACAAAATTATTTGCTACAACAGTTTCGACTGTGCATGCTTTCTTTACTGCGCATGCGTCTTCAAGCAAAGGAGGAGGGCTGTCTTCGTGACAATCCAACATACATGCAAACATACTGCTCGAGCATTTATTCATTTTTCTTGTTCATAACAGCTCTGTCCTTTTCTTAGGCCGATGTAGTCCCCTGTAAGGATCAAATATTTCATTTAAGTCGTATTCATCTTTGTCTGATCTCTTTTTCAACACCTTTTTCTGGGTTTCAACAGAAGGCGAGGCTACAATCACAGGTCTCATTCCACACTCAGCTCTAAGTTCTACCACATTTAGGCCAGTGCGATCAGCTAACTGTTGGTGTGTCTCCTATCAAGAGAGGTAGAAAAAAAATGTCAAGAATGAAATTTACAACCGCTGAGTTTAGCTTTTCTTTGATTTATGGCGTTTATCAACGGAATATTTTCAATTCTTGCCCAACAGGCCCAGACAGTCAAACAGTTTCCCTTAGAACAACAATCAACCAATGGCATTTAAAATATTTTCATTTTGTTCATTTCAGTTTCTTGTTTACTTTCACCACTCCATTATTTCACCCTTCCACCGCCCTCACTTCACTCATACACTTCACCCTACATACATACTTCACCCTACACTTCATTCATCTATTTTTTCCCTAATTACGAAACTAAAAAATTCGTAATGTTTTCAAAATAGGACACGGAGGACTAAAGTTTCAACATGAGCAGCGAAAATATTAAAATATAACAATGGAATCCGATTTTGGGGTTGAAATTTAGCGAGAGTCGCCACTCCATAAACAATTGGAAAGGGTACAAGCCTTTGGTGCGACAATTTCTGAGAACGATTTCGTTTGGGTGAACACGTGCTAGATGTGATTGGTCGATGCTTTTGTTGTCAATCCGACTACCCCAGAAATCTTCTTGCACCAAAAGCGGCTTTTTTCCCATTTTAGAGACGAGAAAGAATCTGGGTCGAGTTAGCTTTCGCAAAGACCTCTGGGGACAAGCCGATCAGCTATTGGCCAATTTTCTCTCCTGTGCCCAGTACAGTCCCAGAAGTCTTTGCGAAAGTTAACTCGGCCCAGTTTCCTCTTAATTTCTAAAATGGCCAATTGATCGAAATTTTTGTCGAATGGCAACAGCAGCTCCATCTTCATCGTAACACATGAAGCTTTTAAGAGTGTTTACAAAAATCACACGGGGGCGGAGTACACTTGTTTCATATTTAGTGTACCGTTTTCGGAGATTTAAGATGTGTAAGTGTAACCTCTCCAGTTCCCTACTGTTTTACCTGACTGAGTAGACCCTGGAAAGCAGCTCGAATCAGACTAAGAGGTGTGGTGGGTCCGCGAACCTTACAGCGCATGTCTTTCATCCCAAGAAGCACTGCGATCTCTTTTATGGCCCGATGACAGCGCAGTCCATAACCTGCAAGTCGTCATAGAAACGATTTAACTTGGCACAGTATACAAGCTTACAATCGTATGACTTAAAAATAATCCACGTAACAGATATAGATGATATAGGATCCTAGGCTACAACCAGTCGCAAAAATACTTGAGAAACTATAGCTTATTTTATTTTGGCTTAAATGGCCTATCCACGATCACGTGCTTGTGATCCCTCCTCCTCCCCTTATCAAAGTTGCCAGCAACGAAAGACCATGCTCAAAACTTAGTGGAGCAACTTTGAAAAAGAGGGAGGAGGGAGGTGAGTATTATATCTTATAGACACGTGACCAGCAGCGATTTGAAGTAAGAAAGGCCGGTTTTCCGTCGGGAATGTCTCAACATTTTTGCAACCGGTTGTAGCATTTACAATGTCTTCTTTTGATATTAGGAAAAAACGGTTGGACACTTTGGCAAATACCCTGGGTGCTTCGTATCTAGGACATTACCCTGGGGGTGCCAGACAAGTCTTTATAGTGACCCGCGCTCCACTTCGTGGCTTCGCCGCTCGTGGCATCGGCCTTCGCCGGCCACCCCGAAGCATCTCGCCCGCACTCGCGGTTAGCTGAAAAAAACCTCCAGTACTCGGGGTATTACGTATCATGGAACCATAATTGCGGCGGACAAAAATCAGTGGAACCTCCTTAGAGAGGTAAATTTATTCCATCACTGAACTCAGGCAGTGATGCATTAAATTTTCGTGTGGATACTGTGTTCTTAAAGCCTCGTGCAAACGGACGCAATATTGTTGGCCAACGACAGCCAACATTGTTGGAAGTTACATGTTGCATACCCTACTGCATGTCGTTGCGCAAAGTTTGAAACCGGTTCAACTTTTGAGCCAACGATTCCCAACATTTGTTTTGTTCCGTGATCGCCAAAGCGTAGCGCAACAATGTTGGATTTAAACAACATAGCAGCCGATCGTTACCATAAAGGACCGCTGAGGAAACACTTTCCTCCTCTAGCAATGGCAAGCGAGGATCGTGATAAACTAATCACTAACAACCATGGTGGTAGAAATAGTTCTACTAAGTGAATCGACACCATCGCGTGATAAAGACCTGCAGAAAGCGGTCGAAACGTCGTGATCACTATCTATGTGACAATCGTGAGACAAACGATTAACGAAACCTTTATACACATTATCCACGATGAACAATATCTTTCATGACTCTAACTCTAACTCTAATCCTATAATCTGCAAAGGGTACGTATCTCATCACGGTAGATGAAAATGATGTTGGATTTGTTTGCACAGCTCTTCCAACATTGTTAGGGACACGCACGCGCATTACACATGGCCTCCAAAGTCTTATGGATGTATCCTTCACATGATGTACTGCAGGTCCCAACATTGCTGGGAGTTGTTGCATCCGTTTGCACACCACTGCCAACACGGACATGGCAAATCCCAACATTGTTGGCCCAACAATGTTGGGAGTTGTTGCATCCTTTTGCACGTAGCTTTACGGTTTGGTTTAAATATACATGTAATGCGTCAAAAGTGGAGATGTCATTTTTCGATCTGTTTAATTATTAGAACTTTTCAAAGATGGCTGCTTTTGATTACGCTCTATAGGATTTTAAAAGACTAGGAAAACCAGAAATAAAAGTATACAGCTACCTGGAGGTTTCCTGTAAAAATTAATAATAGTCTTCTTGTGTCTAGTTTCCAAGTCATGGTATACTGAGAAAAGGATAACAAAATTAAACATGAAAATTAACAACGGCAAATATAAGTTAAATTATCAACATTTGAATGTTAAAAATGAGGAGACCTTGTGTTCTGCTGAAACTGAAACTTTAAAGCAACAATTTCATTTCATCTATCGGAAAGATTGTTTTTCTACTTTTGACGCACTGTCAAGAAAATTTTCGTCCTCGGAGGAAAAATGCATCTACCATCTATATAAGGCTCGTTAAAAATATTAATGGTCACGAGATTTACGCTCATCGCGTCCCCGATAGTTGAACTGAACATTCAACTGATGAAGATCTTGGTTTTAAAACTATTTTTGCCGAGTACGAAAACTTCCTTGACAGCAATAGCCTGCGTAGCAGGCGCTTGGAAGTTGTGGGCACAAGAAAAAACGGGCGCGCGAGAAGACACGCGAGGGGAGAGGTAGCTCCCTCACCCTTCGCGTGTCTCCCTCGCGCGCGCCCGTTTTCTCTTTCGCCCACTACTTCCAAGCGCCTGCTACGCAGGCTATGACAGCAATTTCATGATACTCATTTTAGGCTATTTACACGAGTGGAGAGTCTTCTAAGTAAACCATAAAGACCTTTATATTCGAGGACGAGAACGACTACGACGACGCGATTAAACTAAAAGTTTTTTCACATATTCTGAAAAACTAAACACCTCGAAAAGCTTCATTGCATTGTTTTCTCTTCATCAAAAAGTTCGCATGATCATTGTTCTTCAAGGAGGTTAAGATCACAAAATGATAAAACTTCTAACATTTGAAAACTTGTTCTCGTCATTACGATATTAGATACCTTGAGTTTCAAGGACGAGATCAGAACGACCACGAGTATGAGATTTGATTTTTAGCTTTTTTCGCATATTCTCAAAAAAATATAGACACACCGGATGCTTCATTGTACTTTTTTCTCAGCAGAAAGGTTAGCACTGTTCTCTCCTTTAAAGGAGACTAGGCGATCTCCCGATCGCAAAAAATCGATAAAACCTCTGACATTTGATAACTTTTTTTTCCGCTAACACGACAGTCGCGCTAAAACACATAGTAGAATGACTGCAGCTATTCGCGTTTTCCCGCCAAAATGACGCTGGCTCACGCACACGCACTACTTAGTATTGAGAAAATCTCGTTCTTGTTGCCGTTCTCGTCTTAGAATCTAAAGGTCTCTAATTAAAATAATGGACAAGCACAGGTTTTAGAGGAGGTATTTTTTCAACTTGCAAGGCAGTCAATTGCAAGAGAAGAGGACGATTCACCCTTGTGCCTAATATTTCGTATCTTCATTTTGTCTATAAGTTTGTAGTATGGATTAAAATTAAGAATTAACTTACTTGTGTGGTCATTGCAGCGTTCGACAAAGTGGAGATAGTTCACAGCTTTATTCCTCGCCTGAGGCAAAAGAAAAAACAATAACACAAAATGAACCTAATCAGTCTTGGTACAAACCATGTTCCAGTTGCTCATAAAGTGGATAATGCTATCCACTGGATAAATCGGCACATGAAGCGCAAAATGCAAGTAGTTTCCCTAAAAATACCCACAGGATAATGATTTATCTGGTGCATGGTACTATCAGAAATTTGAGCAACCATGGCCAGAACTATATAGCTATAATCCAGGCTTTGTTTGTTTGTTTGTTTTCTGTGATGTTTAAATCACTGCAGCTCTACAACAGCCCTGCAGGAGTCGAGGGTCAGGTGGGGGCAGGTGCCTGTGTGACAGGCAGTTGAAGGGGAAAGGAAAAGAGAAATAAAGGCGTTTGTAAGAACACAGTGGGTGCCCTTCAACTGCGTGCCCTCCTTAATTCCTATTTAATTCGTATTATTCTTAATTCGTACTCGTAAATCTTTTCATTATTTAAAGATCACTGTTTCTCAGCTATTAGAAATAATTGATTGCTGTCATTTAACTTTTTTATTATCATTTATCTTATTTAAATCTGTAAATATATCTATTTTATATTTATTAAGAAATAATTTTATCGTCTGAAATTGTAATATATTACTATACATGTATGTAATTTACAAGTGTGTATGTGTGATTTTTTTCAACTGTGTGCCCTCCTTAATTCCTATTTAATTCGTGCGTGCCCTCCTTAATTCCTATTTAATTCGTATTATTCTTAATTCGTACTCGTACAAATTTTTCATTATTTAAAGATCACTGTTTCTCAGCTATTAGAAATAATTGATTGCTGTCATTTGTTTCACTTTTTTATTATCATTTATCTTATTTAAATCTGTAAATATATCTATTTTATATTTATTAAGAAAGAATTTTATAATTTGAAATTGCAATATATTACTATATGTAATTTACAAGTGTGTGTGTGTGTGTTTTTTTTGTATTTTTTAAATTCTATTATTGTATTTCTGATATTGTAATTTATTTAGTTTATATTGACTTGATGCAAAAGCGTTGTCAATTAATAAATGTAGATGTAGATGTAGATTCCCCCCTTTGCTTTTCCTATTCAAATGCATGCCACACAGTCCAGTGAGAAAGCTCTCTGCCATGTCCACATAGAGCTATTGGTTAACAATTATTCCTTGAGCCTGAATGGCCTCTGAGTCAATAGCCCATGACTCAGAGGCCATGAGGGCGAGAGGAATAATTGTTTTAGTAAAATCCAACTAGTTGGTCAAAAATATCAAGAATAAAAATCTTTTAGCTAGTTAAAGCTAGACTTCAATCCTTTTGCCGCCAAAAAGCTCATGCTTTTTGCTACTAGTGGGCTATAACATATAGCCTAGTAGTAGCTCAACCAATCAGAATGCAGCATTGATAATAGACCACTAGTTGGATTTTACTAAATACCACTGTGTAAGGTGAGGTTTTCAGGCAGTTTAGTTTGGCATCTGGTGATAGAAATCAGAGGGTGATGGTCAAGAACAGGGTGTTATTTATGTGGGAAATGGATCAATGATAAATGTATGAATGGTGAAGCAAAATTGCAGCTGGCAGAAATGGTCTAGTTAAGGCAAAGGATTCTAGCACCTTACCCCAAAATTCAGAGTATCCCCTCCCCTCCCCCCTGGAACAACAGCTACATAAGCACAAGACAAAATGCAGAATGTACAACGAGCACACACAAACCTGTTTCATTGCACTCAACGGTGCTTGTCCTCTGCCCACTCCAAAACCTATCATTGTGTTAAAAAAAAGAATACTCAGATATCTTATTCTCTGTTTCGAAAATAAGAAATTTCTGACCTAAGATAATCTAAACTACACATGGTGAGGCCACATGTATAGGGTACCTTTAGCAAACACAGCTAACTTGATAACAAAACAAATTCCTGGAATTTACAATAGCTAAAATATAATGTTTCATTGTTTTATTGACTTGTATGAGCTCAGACCCACCCAGATGGGGCACTGCTTTTGTTTAAGGGATAACATTCAAAGGGAAATAATTATTTTAAATTAAAAAAGACCTTGCAGTAATAAAGGCAGGCAAATAAATCCCAGTGAAGTATTTTTACCTGCAACACCATTTTTGTTGCCAACCACAACTATGGCGCGTTGAGTTTTCTTTCTTCCCCCTGGTGTCATATTGCTCACACGCCTCAACTGTCAACAAAAATGCATTCATGGCGTCATGAATTGTGTTATTACTAATTTCCTAAATTAAAATTTTTACTTAAAGCAAACTTAAACATTATTAAAAACCAACCAAACAAACAGATAGAGAAAAAAAATAAAAGTCAAAAAGAAGATGATTGATTATCCTAGTTATAATAGGAAAAGCAGAAATAAAATAAAAAAATATATTGTGAAGGCTATCATAATACATTAGGCTACCGCTCTTAATTACTATAAATTAATGACATGACCTAAAATCTTGCAAGTTGAGTAGTCTAAATAAATCTGCTTCGGCATTGATAAACAGTCAGACACTTTTCACATACCTCGATAACGACAGAGTGAAAGTCCTTCAACACCACTAGAAATAGAAAGAAGAATAGACAGGGTAATGTCACCTTGATTTGTGGAATTCTGAAGGGCCCCCTCTTGAAAAACAATATAAATAATAGTGCCCCCACCTCTACTTCAAAAATTAAATATCTTATTATAGGAAATTTTAAACACTCTATGAAATTAAGGTATTGGAAACTAACACAGCTNACAGAGTGAAAGTCCTTCAACACCACTAGAAATAGAAAGAAGAATAGACAGGGTAATGTCACCTTGATTTGTGGAATTCTGAAGGGCCCCCTCTTGAAAAACAATATAAATAATAGTGCCCCCACCTCTACTTCAAAAATTAAATATCTTATTATAGGAAATTTTAAACACTCTATGAAATTAAGGTATTGGAAACTAACACAGCTTAAATTAACACAAATTTAGTGAAAAACGACTTTCAAAAGTAGGAAATTAATGGCAAAGAGAGGATAACATTTCAAAATGAAGGAAATTAATGCGACACTTACCAAAAAAAAACAACATAAAATCTGAAATGGAAACTTTGTTCATGACACTTCCCTTAAATGTACAAAGGGGATCAAGTGAAGAAATCTGGCCACTTCAAGGGTTCTTCACTGTTTCACTATAACTAGTGGATCTCCACCTTCTGATAAACTACTCCTCTTTCTCAGGTTTCAAGAATGTCAGATGTGTATCCAAACAAGGGAAATTAAGGTTGCAGAAATTAATGCTCCACTTAATTAACAGCGCGGAAATTGACATTTCAAGAAATTAACGCAACTTAAGTTAGTGCAAATATTTGAAATTCGCAGTAATTTCTCGAAGCATTAATTTCCAATAATAAGGTAAGCACCCTGGGTCCTAATTTGAGCATTCATGGTATTATTAATAATCAAACCTCCATCAGCAGTAAGAGGAGAACCAATTGACCTTCCTGGCCAAGTTCTTCCAGACCATCCTCTCTGTGCTGTCCTCATCTGGACTGTTTCGCCCTCTGTATCATCTACTTTTTCTTCTTCTCCTATTCCTATCGGAGCATTGAATCCTTCCCACTTTAAGCCTGCCTTGTCTAAGATTTGAAGCAATGAAAATAAATGTGCAAATTTGGTAACTGAATGAAAACATTTTCCACTTGTTACCAGTGGAGGTACATGTATAACACAAAACACCAACAAACTCCACAACTACTATTTTTATCACTACCAAAGAATTTACAACACCAATGTAATTACAACTTCTAACTTATTGAACCGTTATATAGTTTACAACCTGTTACTGACATGGTTAGTTTTAAAATATAAATGGCAGATATGGAGAGTGAGAGATACCATTAACATCACCAAAATAATTATAACAACATCATCAGGCCATATTAAAGAACGCAACCTCAAAACTTAATATGGTTTTGCAACAATGATATACCAGGGCTGTCAATAAGGGCCGGTAGCCGGCCAAAAATGCCGGCTAGTTAGCCATCCTTAGCCAGCTACTTTCAACTCCTTCCTACCATAACTTTGTAACAAAAAATAAGCGCCATCGAATAAAATTGTAAAGCATCTGCTTCCCAGTTTTGAATGACATTGAACGTTTAGATCTGTGAAATGTTCGAACTGTGCGATTTCGTGGAACACCTGGGACATTTTGACATCATTGTTCCCAGACTTAATCTGACAAAACAACATAGCAATACCTCTTGAAAACCCCTGGAAATGGCATTTCTGAGACTCTAAATTTCAAAATGTCCCTACAGAACTTGTGCCTTTTGGCGACTTTCAAAGCTGCCTACTATTCATTATCAGCCTGCTACTTAAAAACTTTTTTACAGCCCTGTATACAGTGTTTATCAGTCAAACCAAGCAAGGGCAGTCCTGTAAAACTTAAAAAAGGGGCCAAGACCCTTGCAAGCTATAAAGAATAAGACACCACAAGTGTTATTTTTAATACTTAAAAAATAATACAAAAATATACACTATATCATAAGGAAAATAAAAGTTAAAGCAAGGATGATAACCTTAGAATACAGGACAATCATCAAACAAAGTAGGTGGTGTAGGATTTTTCCTTCTATTTCTATTATACTGCCACACCTACCATACTTAAGAAGCTTAGGGTCAACTCCTTTAACAATCTTCTTTTTCGTTCCTCTTCCAGTTCCTCTCCCTCCAGTGACAGCAGCCCACAGTTTCTCATACTCTGAAGATATTTTATGGAAGTGTTAAATTCTTTAATACTAGTAATAACCAAAGGTTACAGAGTGCAGGCGGCATTTATCGAAGGTTAAAACACTTTTGCACAAATGCTGTGCTTTGAATAAGTTTCAAGTGATAGAAGGTCAAAACATGNCTTGCAAGCTATAAAGAATAAGACACCACAAGTGTTATTTTTAATACTTAAAAAATAATACAAAAATATACACTATATCATAAGGAAAATAAAAGTTAAAGCAAGGATGATAACCTTAGAATACAGGACAATCATCAAACAAAGTAGGTGGTGTAGGATTTTTCCTTCTATTTCTATTATACTGCCACACCTACCATACTTAAGAAGCTTAGGGTCAACTCCTTTAACAATCTTCTTTTTCGTTCCTCTTCCAGTTCCTCTCCCTCCAGTGACAGCAGCCCACAGTTTCTCATACTCTGAAGATATTTTATGGAAGTGTTAAATTCTTTAATACTAGTAATAACCAAAGGTTACAGAGTGCAGGCGGCATTTATCGAAGGTTAAAACACTTTTGCACAAATGCTGTGCTTTGAATAAGTTTCAAGTGATAGAAGGTCAAAACATGTGATACTGAATTACAAGAGCTAGAAGGTCCAAACGTGTATGACCACATCAGTGTTTTATGTATTCCATTCATTCTTAGTGGAAGTCCAAATAAAGATGGCTACATATGTGTGGTGCACGCGTAATAGCAACCAGGAGATTATGATTGCGGGTTCCTCTTGTCACCCACAAAAATAATTTACATCATTTCAGTTTCACAAATTGACAACAAACATAACATAACCCCATTCAGTAGACAATTTGCATGTAGGCTGCATGACGATCAAACTATTATTGTGTTGGGTAGCCTGAGAAAACAGCTAACATTTTGCGATGCCACCACTGGCTTTCCTGCAAAAATAACATCTGGGTAAAAAGTGCAGAAATTCCATTCTTACAACATCACTACTCAAATCCGGGTAGTGCTTTTGATTGGATAAAGCAGAGGATTAAGCAATTTTTCAACCAATGAAAAGCACTACTCAGATCTGGCTAGAAGTGAGTCACAATCAGAACTGAATTTCCAGAAATGTTCTTCAGACATTATTTTATGGAGAAACCAGCGGTAGCACCATGAAATGTTGGAACTTGCTTTATCCGGCTATATGCTAGGTTGGCTGAGGATAGAACCTCATTGGGTGTCCTTGGATTTTTGGAGCAAAGGCCTTTTTTTTCAAAACTGAATAATCATTCCATTCTTATTTAACAAAGCTTTCTCTATAATAAAAGATACATTAATTTTTGTATCATTGATTATTATGGTGGATGCACGCGGAAAGAATTTATTTCTTGATTGGATTTTCTTCATACTTATACCTACCTTTGTCCTTGTCTGAGGCTGCATAGTTTCTGTTTTGGATGAACTGGGCTGAAATTAATGCCTTTGTACACGTAACCCAAACATCTAAAAAGAAACAAGTTCATTCAAGCCATGCACAAAGAATTCTAAAACATTATTCTAGAGTACGCTATAAGTATCTATGCGTACCTTTTATGTAAGCATAGGCGTAGGTTAACAATTCATACATTTTAACAGAAGTATATAGCCCTAAAGAGTCTCAGTTCCCCTTATTTGTTTAGAACCATGCCGGGGTTTTCTAGCCTTCCAATCAGAAGCACGGAAAATTTCTTGCCCACATATGGAATCAGAAAATTGAAGTCATCACCATCCGGTACCAATCCACAAATTGAAACCCCTAAAAGGTATGACGAGCTTGATAAGTAGTTTTTTTTTTCATTGAAAAACATGCTATATGTTATTCTGAATGGTTCTCCAAAAACCCAACATTGGAACAGGGTTATATGCTTCAGGGTTATATGCTTCTGGTTTTACAGAACATTTATTTTGCCTCGTAATTTTGTTACTTTTGTTTTATATCTGAGTTCCATTTTAAACTAGCCATGCTAAAGTTTATGTTGCAGATAAAATTTGTTTTTCGTTTAAAACAGTGCTAGTATTCAACCTAGATTCATTTTAGCAATTAAGAATTTCCTTTGTTTCCTAGCCCTACTTAATTACAGACTCAGGATTTTTTCATGAGTCTCCAGACTTTCTTCTATCAGGGTTGGTAGGTCTGAGATTGTCGAGTTCATTTTACATGATTTTACCTGAGTTTCAGCTTACATAAGCTTTAAGTCCAGTAATAACCTCTACATATAACCAAGTACCTTTCTTAAAGAGAGCAAGACTAGTAGAAAAGCTATTTCGTTCCGTCAATGTAGACTTCACAAAGCTGCTACAGTTTGCACATCTTCTCAGAACAGCCGCCATTTTGATTGATAGGGGCGGCTACTAAGCAAAGAACCCGGCTGCTAAGCCTAACATGGCGGCACAATTTCTGAAATTTGGGGTACCAATGATCGTAAGTAAATAATTTTAGAACTTTTTATTTGATGACGCTGAAATCATTCGACATTTCAGTTTAAATCTCTCCTTGTTATTTTTATTGACAAAGGATACATTTTATTCCGCAAAAGGAGATGTATTTTATTTCCTGTCACAACTCTCGCTATAAGCTTAAATGAGTTTACTCCATTTTCTGTTTTCGTCTACAATTAAGCTCATAAATGAGTTAACAACGTGTTCCATTTTCTGTTTTCGCTGTGTATTTAGACCTTAATTGTTGGAGGATCATTTGCACTGAAAGAATTCACTGAAATCAAAATCAAACGCCGAGACGAAAAAGGTCACGCGGTATGTAAATATTTTCCGGTCTCTACGATTCTGTATTGAAAAAGCCCTGTTCCCCCCTCCCCCCCACCCCCACCTCCCCTGCCGTTGAACGGGGTAACGTTTTCAGGGAATTGAGTCTTTAAAAGGGTATACAGTTACTATATTTGGCATCATTAACAGAGTGTGTTTGAGCCCAGTTTATCAGAGTGTGAAGGCTGCAGATGAACAGTCTGTTTGTTGCCAACAGTTTTTCCAAAAAAATTAGTTCCATGATATTAGTTTGAAAAAATACAACCTAATTCTGTATGCAAAAGAGTAGCAAAATGTTTGTCTTAAACAGTGTCAGCACAGGCAGACCACCCTCTGTTAGTGGGGGCCGTTCACAGGAAAAAATAACGGATTCCCATTTTTGAATATTTTTGGGTATTTAAAGAATACCCACAAAAATCCCAAATTTGGAAGAGACCAGCTTTCTCAACATGACCAGTGCAAAAATCTCAACCAAAGGCATTTGAGGTATGCACGTCGATTCAAATCCACCAATCAACGTATCGCGACCGTTGGCAGTTAAAAATCACAACCCTACCCCGCACAGGAATGTTTGTTCTGTCGTGATACGCTGATTGGTAAATTTGAATCAACGCGCATAACTCAAATGCCTTTGGTTGAGATTTTTGCACCGGTCATGTCGAGAAAGCTGGTCTTGTAACTTCAGGATCGCTTTTCTTGAGAAATTTTGGAAGGATTGAGCTCTCATTCGGATGGGGCATGGATACATATCTAGTCGATCGGGAGCCGGTATTTCCGAGGTAAGAAATAAAATAATTTGGCGTCAGTTCCAGCTTCAATAAGACTGGGTCGCGCACCTGTGGCTGATTGCTGCCTGCCTTGTCTCCTTCTTTAGCTCTAACCACCGAGGTCAAATATTCATCTTGCAAAATAGCGCCTAAAACAGCATGGGATGGCGATAAAAACATGACACATGACTCAGTTAACATTTTCTTCAAACTTTTATTGAAAAATTTGCTTTAAATTCTGCATTTTGGAACAAATTATAGTCACTGTATTGTTCATATGTACTTCTTCTATAAATAACAAAAGATCGTTGCTCAGATTTCAATCAACAATGGCCCCCACTAACAGAGGGTGGTCTGCCTGTGGTGTCAGGTTTTGAAGGCTCCAGTGGCACATCTCTTCCCAAACTTCCATTGAGTGCTCATTACCCACCCAGTCCATGAAAAGTTGTACCACACAACTGGGGTCTATGCCCCCCACTCTTTATATCCCACNAAAAAAAAACAACGGTTTGTTGATTCTTGCTGAAAAGTTCCCTCCCCACATCAGCGGGTGTTCCCAGGGTGGTCTGTGTTTTTGTGGGTCCCGTGGCCCCCCCCCCCCCCCACTCCCCCTGGGGGCCCCCCCCCCCCCCCCCGCAGCGGTTTTGCTAATTTGTCACCAGCTGTGGCCTCAACATGTTGCTCAAGTCTTGCTGGTGTCTCTTGTGGAAATCCTATGGACAACCCTACATGCTTGCAAAGGACTTTATTGAATTCTCCACGATGACTCAACACGGTGACAGGGGATGAACCAGGACTAACATTCCAATTGATATCAACCCCTTCATTACCCACCCAGTCCATGAAAAATTGTACCACACCACTGGGGTCTATGCCCCCCACTCTTTACATCCCACAAGAAACAGAACAGTGAAAGATCTGTGAGACAAGGCTTATGGTTTTTTGTCCTTATCTGAGAAGACTAGAATATCTAACCATTTGTAGATTACAAAACAAAGGCAGCTAATTCTCCTCAGTTATTTTAAGACCCTGACTGTTGGTCCAGCCAGGGTTTGAACCCGCAACCTCCTGCTCGGCAGACTGGTGCTTTTCCAATTGAGCTAACCAGATCATGGTGGTGACAGTTCTATAATAGCAAGTAAAATTTAATTTTATCTTTTTTCAGTTAAATAAGGAAGAAGCCTTAGAGGTGTTGCCTCACAAAAAGAAACAAGCTTCCTTAGAAGAAGAGTATAAGGTAGACAGATATAATTTTGGCATTATGTGAGCTGAGGGGTAGTTAAAGCCATTTCAAACCACAGGATAACTACTCAGCCTCACCTTACCCAATCTCTGTAACATGGTAATTTGAAGCATTGTCAGTACATCCTGTACAGGATTCTAGTACATCAAAGCAATCTGCAACAAAATTGTTGAGGCACTGTTGTGAAATGGGGTATATTTAGAAGCAATAACATATAACAACATTACTGATGTCTCATTTTAAGCCATACTCAAACTATTTAATACAAGGCATTAGTTGCATGAAACAGTTATATGGGTGTATAGATTTGGCATCAGTTATAAATGGCGTGATCATTTAAATTAGATATAATCTGAGTTGTGGTTCAAATTGTCCTTGGTTTAATTTTATTTTCCTTTGTTCCAGACTCATTATCATAAATCACCATACCCATAAAGAAAATGAAATTAAATCTAAACCAAAGATGAAATTGAGCAACAAAATTTATTTTACAAATATTTTTAGGCATGTTTGAGTCATTTTAAGTTCAATCTGTGCATGTTATTTATTATATTCCTGTTCCTAAACTCAATGCTACCACAGAGTATACTATATCTGCAGTATAGAAAATTAATAGAATACGTTTTTGCAAACCTGAAAGTTTGTGTATTTTGTCAGGTGAGCTGTGTTTGTGTGTAATTTCTTTTCTTTCAATTTTTTGCAGGCCATTACCAAAAAACTTGACATTGACAATTGGGAGAACAAGCGAGGACCTCGGCCATGGGAGCAATGAACAAAAGCTATAATATAATGACTATGAGGCATCATTAAGAATTAATGAGGCATACATGCTGTAAATCTGTAAAGTGATGTGGCTCACAGTTTCTTTGCCTTAGATCAAAGAATTAGCTGAAGGTGATTTGCTCCTTTTTGCAGTGGCATTTCTTCTTGGAAAATCCAGAAAGCCTAAGTAAGGACTTTTCCTTATATCAGATACAGTCAGCTGTCTTTTAACAGACTCCTGCGTGAGATGGACACCTATAAATAGTCCCTATTATTCTTTAGTCATTTTCTGACTCTCTAAACAACAAGGCAGACACCTCTGTAAGATGGGCATGTAGTGCTGCTCTCGAGTGTGTCCATGGAGAGGGTTATTTTGAATGAAACTTTAATTTGTGTTTAATTTTTGCCACAAGAAACTTTAAAATGCCGGTTGACGTCAATAATGCTAGAATAAGACACTCTTGAAAATACTAAATATGAAGGGCTGGTTATTTAAACAGAGTTTAACCAGTGTTTAACAAAACCACAATCTAAGTCATTTTTAGTTTGCCCAACGCTTTTATCTAAACATCATTTGTCATAAACAGTTTCATTAAAACATATAATGAATACTAGAAAAGCATTTTTCTTTTTCTGGAGGTCCAAAGATTTCTTAAACTGCGGTCTCAGATGTTGCGGTTAATTTTTCTTTTTCTATTGTTCTTACGTATGGTAACGTATGCTAATGAATTCTAAACAAAGGAAAAACAAAAATTATCTGAAAGAAAAAATTAACTGCAACATGGACTTCATTTACATAACTGACCCTTTGTTTTCGTAGAAAAAGTAAATTAGGTTTTATAGACTGAATTTTAAAACACACAGACAATTCAACTGTAACTGAGAAATAAGTAAAATAAAATGGCACTAAAATAGAAGTAATCAATAACTGTTGTCATAATACTTCCCTAGCTGTCTCCACAATTGCTTCGTATCCAGAGACAGGGACGGGCATGGGTCTTTTGGTGGAAAGCACACAGTAAACGAGCCTATGGGTAAAAGCTAAGCGGTGCCAAAAATGCATGGCCAAATCCCAGTTCTTTAGATTTCAGTTACATTTCCCGGGGAAAAATAAAAAGGGAAAGATCCGTTTTCAATTTTACCCCGTCAGGCTCCTCACCGTAGAAGTCCTTTCCACTTTATTTTTCCAGGCGTTGTTAATAATACCCCTAATTCCCTTCGCGCCCACCGTTTAAAATGGCCTCCGCAAAGTACAACTTTTTATTCGCTGTAAGTTTAAGAAAAAAGACCCATTGACAGACCATGAAGAGAGGCCAGACCCATCAACATATTCCCAAGACGCTTGAAAACGCTGGAGAGTTCCGAATGTTTATCTATGAGCTGACAGAGTCGAAAATATTCAGTGTCAGTATTTTGTTTGTAATACTTCTCAACACTGTAATTTTGGTCATTCAAACCGATGAAGCGTTTTCTGTGAAAGCAGGTAGGTGTTAGATTCATATTGCTTTTTTTAGTTGCTAGCAATTCTTGTTGGTTTTCCCTTAATATTACAAGTTGCCAAATGTACGTGATTTTTTTCTCTGAATTTGAACAACTAGGATGGCCTCCAAGTTCAAAAATAGAAAGGAAAGCTTTTCGTATGTTTGCCTTCTTCATAAGACGTCTCGAACTAGGAAATTTTACGATGTTGACAAAACCGGATTCGGATCAACCTCTAGACCCATCGTATTTCAGTGAGGTAGAGGCGAGCAGTCTCTCTTCTGCTCGAAAATCCGTGAATTGAAGCATTTTTGTAGAGCAAACGAGACTGCTCGCTGTCTTTTACAGACAATCAAAGAGAAACGGCGTGACGAACGGTTTCAAGCCCAGGGTCTCGAGGATGCTATATTACAGTGATTTTTTTTCGATCCAGTTTTTGTTCATTCTTGTGAACTGATTGTTTGTAGCTGTTCATTTGTACCAATAAGTGTGATCCACGTGCATAGTGGTTAGTGATTTTCTTTGTTGTTGTATATTTTTTTGTCTGTTTTGTTTGCTTGTTGGAGTATAGACTTTGCCGTTGCAGTTTTACATGAACTCGATACTTGCTCACCAAATTTCGGATTTGAACTCGTTTCTGGAAATTCCCGACAAATGAAAGCAAAACAATAAAACTGTAAATTAACGAAACAAAACAGACTTTTGTACCAGCTTCGCCTTGAGCTTGAGCGGGGACACTCGCGACACAGTATGCAGGAGGTTTATACCGTTGGAAATCGCAAACGGAAGGAGACAGTTTTGTTGTAATTTGTTTTATTTTTCCTTTAGGATGGTATCTCTCTGCTTTAGACAATGTGTTTCTGGCCATCTACTTTATGGAGATTGTTTTAAAACTGTATGCTCTTCGTTCATATTTTTTCAAGACAGGATGGAACATCATGGGTATGCATGGTTTAGACATGTTTAACTTCGGTAAATTCGACATCACCGTTTTCAGTGGAGGCGTGAAGAAATTGAAATAACATTAGTTTCTTATTCAGAGTTTCAAACTTCAAACTTTTCATGCAATCAGCGGTTCCAAGTCAGCTCACAAAGTCACGAAAAGCTCGGGGAGTTGAAACTGACGCGGCTTATAATATAAGTGGCACACAGTTCACCAATTACGTTCCGGTGTCCGTCCTCCCTGGCTCCTGTTTAGTACCTTTAGTTCTCATTCGAAAATTGTTAAGTCTTGGTCAACTATATTTTCCGTGTAGTGTGTTTAAACGGCATCTTTTGGCAATCATTGCCTTAAACTTATCCAGATGTGAACTAAACGTTTCGTCAGCTAGAGATCAAGAAATGATCTTTATATTTCCATTCTGCCTTTGTTTTTTAGGTTAGTTCGCTTAACCTTATTGAGACACTTTACCTAAAATGCTTTCAAAAACAGAAATCGCAATTTCAATTTTTGATTAAATACAAAAATTCACGACTCAAAAAGAAAATGAAGTTTTGTTTTTCATGTTTCTTCTTCTTCTTCTTCTTCTTGTAGACTTGTTGATTGTGCTTTTTACCATGGTGGATTTCTTGCTACCACTGATCGTTCAGAATGTCGGATCCTTTGATGTTGCAGCCATTTTTAGATTACTGCGCATGTTCCGAGCTATCCGAGCGCTGAGGGCACTACGGGTACTGCGGACTATAAGGTCAGAAAGTTCATACACAGATGAGTGTTTCTTGGGTAGGGACGAGGGACATGTGGAACTGGATTACTTTAATTTAAATTGCGGGGTGTCCTGTTTTGGGCTAACGATAAATAGCAAGTGTGAAAGTTGGTTTCACTTGAAAATTTCATTTGTCAAAGAAGTCCGTAATCAGTTTTTAGAAAACGTAACCTCAATTTCTCCATACATTTTCTGTAATTTTGATACTGTAGAATTACAGAAAATTTATGGGAATATCAAGGTTTTCTGACTGAACTGATCACAGACTTCTTTGCTCTCCAGATTTAAGGTATAGCTTCTTTGAACTCCTAAGTTACTCTTTTCAAAGAGAAAGCATCAAATATATGAATTCAAGAAGAATTAGGAGGCTTTGAATTCAGCACAAATCTTTAAATTTCCCTCCATCTTGCCCTGATTACCCATGATGCAACTATGAGCGTGAACTCCTTTACTAGTGATTTTACGCAACAGGACAGAAGAGTAAAGAAGGCGGCAAACGTTGCGTAACAAGCTTGACAATAATTTTGTCTGTTAAAACCTTCCGCCAAACTCCACCTTCCTTGCTTTGAACAGGTCTTTTTGTAAACGACCGGAAAACATTTAGCGTAAAATGGAGACCACGACAAAACACGCAAGTGATAGCCCTGTCACGCTTGTCACACACACCCGTTTTGCCGTCTTCTTCTTCCTGCCGTCCTGTTGCGTAAACTCACTATTCTAAGTGGAGGGAGCGAGTTATCAAATGTTAGAAGTTTTATCATTTTATCGGGAGAGGGCTTAACCTCCTTAAATCAAGAACCTTGCTAACTTTTCTGGTGAGTCTAAAGTACAATGACGCTCTCTGGAGAAGCTTTCTGGGGTGTATATTTTTTGAGAATACGCGATAAAACTTTCAATCAAATCTCGTACTCGTAGTCTTTCTCGTCCTCGAATCTAAAGGTCTCTAATATTGATTCGTTTCCGCAGATTTTTGAAAAATCTTCAAGTGATCATGACAACAATTCTGAAGTCATTCCGAGCTCTGAGTACAATCGTTATGCTTCAGGGACTATTTCTTTGTATCCTTGTAACGGGTCAGGTCCGGCGGGGATGGGTGGGGGGGTGGGGGGCGGGTTGGGTTGTACTCTCTTATATAAGCCATATAGGTATGTGCCGCCCCAAAGAGTATGGTTTTTGCGCCGTTTCGGTCTCAAAACGGGTATAGAATTTGCCCATTTTGGTCTGGAAACGGGTATGGTTTTCGAGCGAGCTACTGGAGGTTTGAATGTATTGGTCGTTTCAATTCCAAATGAATAAGAAAGAAAGAGTAATATGCAAATTCGAAATGGATATTAAGAAATCTTTTTCCTGGCGCTCTAATATGAGTAATAAAGAAAGGATTTTTTGGAGACCAGGTATGAAATCGGGTATGGATTTTAAAGGCTAGGTCTAAAGGTGTGAAAAATCACAGTTTTTAGTCTGAAATAGGGTCAGGATTTGAAGAACCGGGCGGCACACTCCCACCAAAAATTCCTAGGAGTACCTCTCCCCCTCCCGCCCCAGCATATGCGGTATAGTGTGAAAATAGCCTTAGGCGTTCTGACTGGATGAAACAACAGATAATTGTAGTTATACAGTTGTTCCTCCTTAAGTATTACGCTGTACAGACATGTTTGCGGTTATAGGGCGCGGGCTGTTTTATGAAGTCGCACCCACAAGATTTGGCACCTTGGGAAAAGCCTTCTTCACGCTTTTCCAGCTCATAACGCTGGATGACTGGTTTTACATGTACAGTGATGTCGTCGCCAAGAGCCCAGGTTTTTATTGCCACCCACGCAGACGTCCTAAGTGGTTGGTCACTTGACTACAAGCCAAAAGGACGTCCGTGTTAGACTGCACTATTTGCAAACGTAGAAGTGAATTTGTGTTTTTGTTCCGTCAATCATTTGAGTGGAGGTGGGGTTGATGCAAATCACAACGCCACTTTAAGTTGCCTTGTGATTCTCAGTTTTGTTTTTGCGGCAAATTTGCCGCAAGAACAAAACTGAGAATGACTCTAGACTGTTCAAAAATAACGAAGGAAATCGCGATTGTGAGTGGAATTTTTTTTCTTGGCTATACAGTCGTAAGAAAGATCACGAAAATCTTCGAATCAAACTAGTCGATTATTGCCCAAAACAGGACGCTCACAAGCAACGAACCTTGAAATACAGACCCCCCCCCCCAAAAAAAAAAAAAAAAAAAAAAAAAACTTTTTTCTGGGTATCAGAGGCGAAAAAAAATACAAAAAAATTTCAAAAAAAAATGGGCGATTTTTACCCAAAACAGGCACCCACAAAAAAAAAAAACATGAAAACAACACCCCCCCCCCCAAAAAAAAAAAAAAAAAAAATTGAAATCCACCCATCACAAATCACAAACCATGACCTTTTTGGCGTTCAAGTGAACATCTGTTCCCTAAGAGGTCCGCTAGGATGATTGACGGAACAAAAACCCCAAATTCCTTCGAAGTTTGCAAAACTCGCAGACGGCTTTTGACACTTTAATAAAGTTTCTATCTATCTATCTATCTATCTTATGTAGAATTCCCCGCGCCTCCCCTCCCTCTCTTCCCACCCCTCTCCTAGTACGATGAATACCCTGTTAAGAGTTTACGACCAGTTTTGGGCCACAACACCCCGTAACGCGACAACTAAAGCTCACGATCAGACTTTCTGTTTACTTGTCGTTGTTAAATCTATATTGCGCCTGAGTGTACCATAACTGGTTAAGAGGCTGAAAAAAAGCTAAAGCTTTGTTTCTTGTTCTTTCTGAACAGGACACGGCTATATCATCCTGTATCTTATCGTCTACATTGTCCTGGAAAACTTCATCTTCATGAAGTAAGAATTTTAACAACCATATTTCATGAAAAGTTATTCTGATTATTTCTTAATGTACAAATTATCTTGCAGTTGAGGCAAACCTGTCAAAAGATTTCTAAAAATACCAAAAATTGAGAAAAAAAAATGGCTTGGGGTGGTGGAAGCCTAAGTAAATTTAACAAACGACAAACGTATGTTGAAAACTGTGACATTTACAGGTTTCTATCAAAGTTTTCAAATATTTCTTTACCTCTTGGTTTTATGCTTGTGTAATGTAGTTTGAAAGGGATCTACAATTTTAAGCATTTCTAGTTTCTATCAAGCTCCTTGTTATTTCCTGTATTCTTCGCTTTTATATGAAATAACAATGGAGTTACTCACTTACCCAATCTTCCAAGCCCCTAGTAAGGCAAAAAGGTCGCACCTATCACCTTTCCAGATCTTTTGCTGTTTTCCCAGCTTCTCCCCACGCAGATGCCATTTCCCTCATGTACCTGACTTTTAAAGATCCCGGGAGAAATGAGATACACGTGCGAAGAAGAAGTTGTGACTGTCAGGAATAGATTTCACTATCAACTTGAAGTTTGCTGGGCATGGTGGTTTAAGTTTATTATAATTATTAATATTAATATTATTAATATTATCATTATTATTTTAGTCCTGATAATTGTGTCTATTTGAAACAGATACTGGCTTTAAGTTTTTCCTATGATATATGTTAATATAAAAGTATTTACCGCGTTTCAGCTTGTTCGTGGCAGTGCTGGTAGATAATTTTCAAAGAACAATAACAGCAGTGGAAGTAAAACCACACAAGAAACAAAGTGGACTGCAATTCAAAAGTGTTTTTGAAGAGGTATGTCATGTATTACCACTGTAAGGTAGGTTGAGTCCTGATAAAGGGGCTGGAAGCAGGCGGGGCGGGGCGGGGGGGAGGGCAGAGAGGTCCAAAACTCCCGGTTCCTGTTCCTTGCATTGCCGCTTCCCAGTCCTTTTTTAAAATACCGTATTTTCTTGGCTTCCTTCTTTTAGCAGATCGATTGCAAAATATTAAGCATTTTTGCGTTATTTTCTCCTGTTTCTCTCTCTACCCACCCATTGAGAACCTTCACCTCTCGCCCTTCCCTCTTCCGCCTCGCGTACCCCTCCGGCCCCCTACATTCCCAAAGTCCCACCTCCTGTCCTTCCCCACGATCAGCGAGATATTATTAGTGATATTTTTTCGTATCTCCATGTTTGATTACCAGGTGCAGTTGAGTGATCACGCTGCGAGTGCGTACTCATTTTCAGATGATTATGACGATTTTGAAGGTGATGCAGCGTTATTTCAGTAGCCCACTATGTTAGCTGTTAGTGTTGACTGTATTCACCAGTATTTATGCCAGCCAATAAATTCTATTCATTTCTTCGTCTATTTATAAGGACAAAGCAATCTGGAATAAAATTATTGTCTGGAAAGATAATAGTTTTAAAACGGATACACGTGATAAAGGTCGGAAGGAAAATAAAACTTCTCAATCCCTTTTTGGCAGAGGATGAGGATGAAGAACAAGAAATAAGGATTGTTAAAAGAGTGGAGGATTATTACCCCGAAGATAAGTTCTCTGCCAGGTATGAATTAAAAGCGACAAAACAGGGCTTTTATTTCAACAGGAATTGTTTGCGAGAGGTTTTTTTTTTGTTCTGTATCATTGTAAGAAAAAGAAATGTAAACTTTTAGTTGTTTACCAATGGAACACGTTTAAACATGTCCGTACGTTCCAGATGGAATTGGAATTTGAAATTGTTGGTTTTGAGGAAAGGGGAAAACCGGAGTACCCGGGGAAAAATCTTTAGGAGTACAGGAGAGAACCAACAACAAACTCAACCCACATATGGCGTCGACGCCGGGATATGAACCCAGGCCACATTGGTGGGAGGCGGATGCTCTCACCACTGCGCCACCATTTCCCCTGGTCCTTTACTTTTGCCAAGAAAAGCAAAAGGAATGAAGCGGAGCAAACAGGATTCAGATAGGTAGATTTAGCTACAAGGATAAGAGTTTTCAATACCAACCGTGCCTCATTCTAAAAAGGTTAATCCGTAATACGCAGGATTCGTAAAGTCTTGAATTCTTGTAAAAGTCTTGTAATTTGCCTTGAGTTTTTTTTTTCAAAGCTGCAACCAGTGGTTTAAAAGTGAATTTTTTTTCGTTTTGTTCAAATGTTATTCAATCTTGCCCGTACGTTTGCAGCGCACCATGAAAAACTCTTTGTTCCTGCGTTTTTTAAGATCTCTATTGATCACCTATTCAAAAACCTTGAGTCTGGAAAAAGGAAATTACTGTTTTGAAAAAAAGTTTTCATTCATATGTTATAGGGAGCGAGCGTTGATCAATGATTACTTTACCCTACTTGCGTCTTTGGAGTACAACATGCAAGAGATACAAAAAGTACAAAAACTCGTCAACGACCTGGTGGACATAACAGTTACGGTACGGTAATGCGTAAATAAGAAGTTGTAAATAATTCCCCTCGTTTCACACGTTCAAAACGTTAGAGCTAACTGAGTGAGGATCTACTGAGTAAACACAATTCTCCAGTCTCCATTTCTCTCAAAGGAACAGTGAATTTTCAGTAGCAAGTGATTTATCAAGATTAAAACACGGAGAGCGACCGAGTAGTTTAGAATTGAAAAAGAAAGGCCTATTTTTCAGGCTAGTATTACAGGGTTTTAAAATCACTCCCATGGAAGTATTCATTTCTACACGGATGCTTGCATTAGGTGTTGGATTATATTGTGTTAAAATCGTTGATAGGTCATGCAAGATTTAAAAGCATTTGCCAGACATTTATTTCCTAAGCCATTTCTTCCAGAATTATTAAGAATTTTCTAAGAGGAGGAAAGATGTTTCTAAACCTTAAAGGTCGGTTCAACTTTAGTTAAGTTTGACCCATAATGAAAGTTAAGTAATATAAATGTGATATATAAGTTATCATTGAATTCGGATTTCTCTTGTATTCAACAGATACCTGACGTACCTGAAGAGTTAATTTAATTCACTTTAAGACCAACATTCAATCCAGCCATTTTCAAACATTCTATTGAGGACTTTCGGATTCACAATAAACTTGGTCTTTTTTGTCCTTTCTTATAAAGTTTTAGATACAAAGTTGGAAGATATCATGCATTAAGCCTTTTATACTATGTTTGGAGAACAGCAGGAGACAGCCGTAGGTCTTAAATATAAGATAGGGTGTTGTCCCTGCGCTCAGAGAGAGTGGACTATATTGCGTCCGTTTTAATACAGTTGTTGTTGTATGTTATACGATTCACGCTGTTTATAACCTCTGTTTGAAATGTCATAATAAAATGCATCAGTTCATGACATTGCTGGAAGGTGTTAATACGACTTTTCAGGCAGGAATATAAAAACTTTGCCTTTTCTATCTTGGTCTCTTTCCACCTCTTCTGTTGGAATTAAATTTATTTCTCTTATTAAAATTAGCCTTTCGTTGAGGACCTTTCTGCTGACTTCTCTGTCTGCCCCGATCTTTTCTCCAGTTCTTTCCCGCCTTTTTGTCCTCCCATTTCAACTGCTTATTGCTGGCGCCCGCTCTCATGACGTCAAATTTCCCTCCACGTGAGGCGTTCGAGTTCTCCAAAAGATGAGCGAACTGAAAATATGATAACTACAATCAATGTATTTCATACCCTGAATCATTAACGTCTTCAGTTTGTCTCTCGTTTGCGACGAGCTGAATGTTTGGTCTTCCTCGTTAAGACAGTACAAATTATGAAAGCTGCAAAAATTTAAATTGCTACACCGTACCTCTTCTGCGGATGCAAACATCGATGATACGTCGGTCCTAAGGAAAAACAAAACAAAGGTTGTTCTATAACTATGTCTCAGTATGAATCAAGCGGTCCCTTGCAAAATGTTCTTCCAACGAAGCTTTTTGATGATGCGCTGCGTTTTTAATGAAATGAAGTTCGATCATGGTATCACTATGTGCAATATTCGCCAACATTGGGAATAAAAAAAGGCTCGTTACACAGAAGTTCACGTGCCAAAGAAAGGAGAAATGAGGTGGTAAAACCCCTTTAGGAAGCATTTTTGTAACCGCAACTTTTCCCCGTTCAGCTACGCCAAACACAAATTTTGCAAACGCAAATTTTGCTTCCAAAACTAATTGTTGTTTGCACAGCCACATTTTGGTTATGCAATGTGTTTACGCAGTGTGTTTAATAGTTAAATTAGGCACGTACACAAGCTTCCCAAATAATCCCGCACTCACAGAGAGCTGTGGGGCGGAGAGAAGGGGATTTTCAACGTCACTTGCACCTGTCGTGACCCATGACCTATTGATGAGCTCTCAGCCAGCCGGGTGTTCCGTCTGATCACAAGGCTGAACTGATCATGTTCTCACCACCTTGAATGGGTTTTCGAATCACTGTAGGTGAACTTCCTGAGTTAGGAAGTTCCCATTTCTTGTTGTCTGCTCTCATTTTTAACATGGGCCTGTTATGATACTGTATTCAATCAAACGTGCCTTGAGAGTGCTGTGTCATGGTAGAGTATTATAATTCTTGTTTCCTTATTCGCTATGAAACTTGAGAACGTACTTCTTGTGAATCACAAAATCACAGCTTTGTGAAACAAATATGCCCCCCAAGCACTACATCAAACGTTACAAACGACAAAACCGAACTTTGAAAAACTTTTAGGCAAACAAGTTTTCAGAAACCAAAATTGCAATCCGTTTCAATCTTCCTTAAGTTTGTCCATCCGTGCTTCCTTTTGTTATTCATACTTTCTTTTAACGTCTTGAGCGGTTATTTTTTAAAGTTTCACTTGATTCGGTGGCAGTTCCCACTGTCTGAACTGTGACAAATTTGGTGACACAGCTCCGTTAAGTTGATCAGTGAACCAACTTACCCTTCAGTATTTCTTTTCTTTGATTTTCTTTTCGAACTCTGGGTTTCGTCGTCATCATCAGAAAACTCATCGGAGCTCAGGTTTTCGAGTAGGGCCTTGAGAACAAGGAGAAGCAGTTAAAATCTTACACATCAATGACTTCTCCCAGATCTCGCTGTTCTAATGTTCATCAGCAGCGTTGCATTGCAAAGCAATAAAGCAAACAAACCTAGATTAACATGGACTTAAACCAAACCACCACGCCTAGATACACTTAAAAACTCTTCCTATTTTCATTATTCATATTCCTTCCCACTCACACTATTTAGGTCCCGTTTATATGCAAAAAAGTTGTTTAGGGTATAAGGGTCACTCGCCTGCCCGTGCTAACAGCTCATGTGTTTCCTTACAAAACGTGGCGAACCGTTTACCCAGGAAATAAACAGTTCGTTTGACTAGAAGGGTGATCTGCTTAGCCAAGTCACCAATTTATAATGGTAGGGTCACCCTCCTATCTGGGCCAGCTTTTCTCCATATAAACACTATGGCTCTGGACAGCCGGGTCAAATCGGCAAGGCAAGACAATCAGAGCATGCGCGAGCGCTATTGGCTCGGGCAAAAAGGTCAACTTAAGGTGATTCCATAGTAAAAGAACCTAACATAGATTTTAGCTAAAACTTGGTACACTGATGTAACAAGTCAAGAAGATGATAAAAAAGTAATAAAAAGTGGGGGTCACCGTGCTCGTTTTGACGTCACAATGCTGACAAATACGGCTATTTAGGACCCTTTTACAAAAACCGCGGGCAGCGCAAAACTAGACAAAAAGGAGAGATTTTTTCGATGATGCATGTGACATCACACAGAATTTGACTTTTATGTATTGTTTATCCACTTACGTACCAGAAAAATGCCCTTTAATGCCCTTGTTTTTACTTTACGCTCCAAAGTAGAATTAAATTGGACGCGCGCTTTTCGACCCGTGATGGCTCAATCCGTACAATTTAGTAAAATTGCCAAAAAACTGAACATAGATTTGTGCCAATTTTTTTCTCATCGAAAGGAAGCACTGTCCTTATTAAAATCATGAAATAAAAAATGGGGGTCACCGTACTCGTTTTTGCGGTAGAGCTACAGAAAGTGCGCACCAAACGCATTTTCTCCGATTTTTGAGAGAGGACTGGGGCGAGTTTCAAAATAGAATGTATGTGAAAAGGGGAAGAAAGTATTAAAAAGTCCGTTTTACAGAATTTACATCGAGATATCACATTTAGGACACAATGTGATAAAGAAAGTGTTTAAATGAAAATCAAAGTGAGTAAGCACAAGTTAAACATCCACTATCGAGGTTCTCCGAGAGGAGGTCGAACTCAGCAACACGCGTACTGCTTACGTTGTGCACATTCACAACACATTGAGTCTCACCTCGGCAAGAAACAACAGCAAGCAAAAATTCCAATAGCGTTTCTCTTCAGTCAACTTCATTTTAATAATATTACTTCACATGCTCTTTTTTACGGTGGCCATCTTGTTATGCGCAGTAAGAGATGCGCAGTGCAAAACTAGGGAATCACCTTAATCCTTTTTTTTTAAACGTTCGCTAAAGTTGACTCGGCTGAAAGGGCAAACCTTCTACCCGGGACAGGTTTTCTTCATATAAAGGGAGGCTTTACTCGATTATAAAAAGCGTTAATTGCTATATAATGTGCAGGAGGGCAGAGAGGTAGTAATATCAAGCATGAGACGCAGTGTTTCATCTGGTGATGAAACACTGAAAAGAGATTTGAAAATACGACTCGCAGCGGAGTTTGAGTTGTTTCATCTGGTAATGAAACACTGTGTCGAATGCTTGATATTAAGTCTCAAACAAAATGATTTTAGAAGGAGAAATCAAGGATGCAAGAATGAGCAGTTTTTTATCTGATTTCAAAACACTCATTAAACGATAATTTCCTTCGTATTTTCCTTATGAATTATTAACAAGTCTGAGAAGTCTGATTCGAACCCCACTGACCTCTTCATCGGATGTACGCCCTTGTATGAGGGTCACAATTTTTTTTAAACAAATCACCGTTTTTGGAATCAAGTACATGTTACGAATGTTTTCACAGGCACTTGTCCTCTGTTATACAAACACAGCCACGAACAAGCAAACTAATTAGGTGTGCTCAACCAATTACCAATTGAACTAACAAGCCAACTGAATTGGTTCGTTATAAACCCATGAAAGCATGACGATGAAATATGGAATACATGAAAATCACATACAGGAAGTGAGGGGTGAAGAATTAAATGAAAAAAGATCATCGGAATTTAAAAGATGCAACTTTAGCATTTCCTATGTATGATTTCCATATATTCATATCCAACCGATCTTTTGAAAACCAACCTAACGAAATTTGCAGTCATTTGAGTGAAAAGGCGTCAAAAGGCAGGTTTCTTAAGCGCGAGGTGCTTCAAAATCACAGTAACAAAGGAAAAGGAGAGGAGAAAAAGAAAGACCGAGGAGAAGGAAAGGAGGAGAAGAGAAAAAAGCAATGGTAAGATTGCATTCTTAGTTTTTATAATAGCTACTTCGGTGATAGTTTTTGGCCGAAAAAAACTGTTGGACGCAGAAGGTCCATTTGGCGATAACGTTTTCAAAAATCCGGCTAGATATATTCATGGGTTTATAACAAACCAACTCAATGGCCTACTCCCAGTTGGCACTGATGTTAGCTCGGTTGGTAGAGCGCTGCGACCGGTATCGCAAAGGGCTAATTAGCATAGATTACAGCTTACCTTCTCATAGTCTTTATCCGTCAGTTTTCGTTTTTTGCTCTTAGGTTTGTTATGTTCTTCTACGAAAAAAATAGAGTATTATTTTAAGGATATAACATTTTCACCTCGTAAGCAACGAAATCAGATACAACCAAAAGTAAACTAACCTGTTTCATCTTCGTCCGATGATGAAAAATCCATGGCGGCGTAATCAAACTCTACAGGCGAGAAAAAAGGAACACATTCTGTAAGGATAAATGATCAAGCCTGGCGTTCCTGTGCACACTATACCCTAGTATTACCATCCAAATGAAAATTACTTTTAGCGTTCCCAATGAACCGTGAGAACGAAGGCTAAATATTTTTTCCGATCTAAGCCCCAGTGACAAGAATCGAAAAGATAAATCTTCAACTCAGAACATTCAGTTGACAGCTATGGTGGAGTACTATCGCATACTTTGTATCGATAAATGTGCTGTGGCGTTTTTCAATTACTAATGTCTACTACGAAGATAAACTTGAGAACTTGTATACA